GGCGAGACGAAACAGAAACAGAAACTATGAAGTTTGTAGAGCTACAATCAGCTACAACTTACAGCGCCACTAGAATGAGATAGCATGATTTTTTCTCTCTCGCACAATTTCGACGAATAATGGCGGACTTCACGTGTCCAGACTCTTATTAGAGGGTCACTAGAAAGTACGAGAAGTGAGGAAAGTCGACAAAGATTATCGACATATAGTATGGACTGCGCACAGGCTGAAATAATATGACCGGCCCGAAAGAAAGAGATAAGGAGCCTACAGACCAGAGCGGCGCAGCGGTGAAGCGGCGAGCGATAGCCAATGAGAGCCATGCTTTTACCTAAAAATATGGCTCTCATTGGCTATCGCTCGCCGCTTCACCGCTGCGCCGCTCTGGTCTGTAGGCTCCTATAGCGACCGGGTCAAGCTCTGTCTCTTTCTAATAGCTCTGTCTCTTTCTATCATCTAGCGATACATTATGACATCCAATGGGCGGTAATAAAAGCAGCCAATAGGAGTATTAGAAAGAGCGAGCGATTGACCCACACCGCGTTTCCTCTTTGTCTAATTCACCGGACACTTTTCGAGAGGACTTATGAATGGATAGCGCAGTCCATACTAATGTCGATGACAAAGATACACAATTGACCCCCTGATCATAGATGATCATAAAGTTCACGTGAACAATTTCACATTTTCACAGTTGGAAAAGTTGTGTGATCCCTCGAAATCATAGATGATCATAGAGTTCACGTGAAACTTTTCACTTTTCACGTTTTCGCCCTAGAGGAAAAGGTACATGATTGACCCCAGATAGAGTCCTGTCTGGTTTATGCTTCAGGTCTTAATTCCAAGATCCTAAAATTCAACCAATAAAGCTGCCAGTTCTAACCGAAATTTGAACTCTATTGGCTGAATTTTAGGATTAAGTCCTTAAGACCGAAGCATAAACCAGGCACTAGATATCAGAGAAGAGCAACCGGCTTAAGTCAGTATAGCAAAATTACTAAGAAAAGTAATAAAAATGGCGTCGTTTGCAGACGAAATATGAAATCCACCAATCGTCTATTAGTCAGCCATTTTTAATACCACTGAATGAACATGATTAGCTGACAGTCAGTTAATCAGGACGCGGAACATCGGTTGAGCTTCTCTGATATCTAGGACTCTAACCCCAGAGCGATTCTTAACATCGTGGACATGTGTTTGTTTATAACCATATCACCATATGACCTGCTGTTACCTATTTTCTGACACAGTGTCACGCTTTCTACCACTGAAAAGATAGCAGACAAATTGAATATTTTTGATTTATTTAAGTGTATATAATTTGGGAATCGTTTGGGGAAATTTGGGAAAAGCATTTAAACATTTGGGTAATAGTATTTTTCTTGTTATTAACAAATTGTTTCATGCGACAAGTTAGCAGCATGAAGTAAGAGAAAGGAGACTTAACTGTGTAAACTGAAGGTGGTCACGAAAAATGTTCCGTGTACTGCCATGTCCGTCGAACGGAATTCGCCCTGGTAAGTAGAGATCCTATAATAAGAGTTTGGCCAAAGCGGACCAAAGATGGCGGATAGAAGGAGATAACAGATATGCTTTCTTTCTCGTATTACGCTATCTGATGTCTCTTTCTATTCTCCGAACTCGTTTTCCGACAATGTATGTACAAAGCTATCCGAAGAATGCCGAATGGACCAAGGTAGAGAATCAATCAGAAGTTGGGCCCGCTTTGGCCAAATTCTTATTATAGGATCTCTACTGTAAGGCGAGAAACACACACTTTTGCATAACGCATAAAGCATGTGCATAAGGAATTTCATTGGCCCATTTCCTTATGCATGAGTCAATGAACCAATCAAATTCTTTATGTATATGGTTTATGCGTTATGCAAAAGTCTGTGCTCCCCGCTTAAGGCGAGAAACACACACTTTTGCATAACGCATAAAGCATGTGCATAAGGAATTTCATTGGCCCATTTTCTTATGCATGAGTCAATGGACCAATCAAATTCTTTATATATATGGTTTATGCGTTATGCAAAAGTCTGTGCTCCTCGCTTAAGTATGCGGCAGCGCCAACTGCTGAGAAAATGTGAAACTATTGAGATGGGTGTAAATATTGACAAATATATACTTGAAACATACTTTAGAAATGGAGAAAAATAAAAATTCAGGAAAATGGTGTTGTGTGCCAAGCTGCAAGTGGGTGAAAGGGGACAATATTTCCCTACACTATTTTCCAAAAGACAAGGATTTAAGAAAAAAATGGACAATAGCTTGCAAAATTGGGAAACCAGTGACACCCTACATGCAAGTATGCGGCAGACACTTCTCAGACTATCACTTTGCAGGAGGTATAGTGTAAAATCAAATATTTTTTATATATTTTAAAAGCATGTAAATACTAATAATAAAATGTATGCTTATTTTGGCCTTTGAAGATGTTTAAAACTTATTAGTTACAACTGTTTCCAGGTGCACATGCAAAGGTACGGCGTTTAAAAACGTCCATAGCTGTTCCTACATTATTTTTACCTCGTAGGCCACTGGATCGAATACCTACAGATAAACAAAAAAAAGAAACCGAAGAACGAGCTGAAAGATTGAACCGACGTCAATGTAGGTTGGTATTTTGGAGTTATACGAAAAATTCATAACCTTATTTATCTTTTTCAAATAATCTAAATGTCAGAGTTCTTTTATCTATTCTTATTTAAACTAATTTTGATTAAAATGATTATAATCGTTTAATTATATTATTTTATTTCATTCGCAGATCAAGTGATATGTCAACAGAGACATTAGAAATGAGAGAATCTGCAGAAAATGATGCTCCTGTAGTAATGCATGAACGATCATGCTGTTCAAATGAAAACAATGAATAACCTGAACTCGCAGTAATTCTTTTTCTTTGTTCCGTTAACCATCGCTCACCTTTTTGCGAAATATAAAATAGTGTCGTCTTGTATTTTGGGATATATCTCTACTGACAAGATAATTTCTACGATACTTCTTAAGTCACGAAGTCTGTTTCCATTACTGTCACATGTACTGGCATCGATGTCATTCCTTTTACCAAAAATTATTAACGAAAGTTCAGATTGTGGTGCACCTAATAAAAACCCATCTTGATCAATTTTTTTATAAGGGTGTAAAATGAGAATATAGCCTAAATTTGTAATATAATAAACAATACATTTCAATAATAGCTGTAAATAACACGAATCATCTGCTGTCTCCTGTAAATACTTAAATTCTTGACTTTTTAGCTTAGGAACATGGCAAAAGTTTTTAATGGGTACAACGCTATACATATCCTTCGCATCTTTTTTCAACTTGCCCCATTTTTGACGGACATCAGTGCAGCTAGCCTTTTCTATTTCTGCTATAGGAACACTAATAAAAACTTTAAAAAACACGTTTAGGTATCTAATACATAAACATTTACATACTAAAAAACCTGTCAAATTTTAACGTATATGTGTAGTCATACCGATTCAAATGCATGAGTAATGACTCACAATGCTTGCATTTTCCACCATTTCCTGCTTTGCATGAACAAATGCAGTTAATGGTGACTTCATTTTTTGCAGCATCATCACTTTTATTTATCTTGATTACTACCTCATGAGGAGATCCCGAAAGACATGACGGTTGCAAACACAATCCTAAAATTTCAGTTTTAGTCATTGACTCGTGGGTAATTCCACAAAACATTATATGTTTCGCATTCAGGACTTGTTCGCCTTCTACATAGCATCGCTGACCTGCTCCTACGTAATTAACAATATCAAAGAAACTAATTAAAAACTTATTTTCTTTTACTCTCTCCATAGTACTAGTTTTGAATCTAACCTATCTCAGTAGTTCCGCATTTCCTCAGTAGTTGGCGCTGTCGCATACTTACCAGTAGTGACGCTCTAATAAGAGTCTGGCCACCTTCTCCCCGGTTTGTGATTGGTCCGACATTTCTCATTCATTCCCGCAAATTTCTTTAAATGTATAAATTGTAAAAATTAATAAATTCGTAAAAATTAAAGTAGAATCAATTACAATTTTTATTTTTATTATTATTTAACTTATATTAACATTATTAAATATTTTCTATAAAAACTTTTATGTAAAAAAAA